GTAAAAATGAAATCTTCTATTAATATCAAAGGATAGTTTAGAATCCTAGACAGTGAACTGGAAATGGCCTTAGAGATTATTTGCCTAGATTGTTCATTCCACAACTGAGTTAATGACTGGCTTGGGAAGGCTAGGGAATTTACCTGAGGTCAGTGTTAAACTGGCAGAGAAAATACCAAAACTCAGGTTTATTCATCATGGTTTATTCATCATGGTTCTTGGACTTTTCCCAGTACCCTATAGTTTTTCTCAACTCTCTGTTAGTATAAGGAAGTGGAATACTGTAATATAAATGATTGCATGTGTATTCTGAGGCCAGTTATACTATATAATGTAATAGACTAGGAAAAGAGATAGCATTTATAATATATTCTCAGAACCCTTTATCAGTATTCCATTACTCTGCTTATGTAACAAAGACAAACATAATTTAACCTATTAAAATTCTAGCCAGTGGGTAATCATTTCTTGATGGTTATTTACTCTTGCCTGGTTAAGCAGTTGGGAGCAAATATTAACTACTCCTATTCACCATTTTATCCTCAGGGTGTGCTTCTGGCACATAGTAATGCTTTAGGTTATTTAAAATGAGCAATAATCTAGAGAGGGTTGGAGAAAAAAAAAATCCAAAGAAGTATTATGCTTTGTCTGTTGTAAAATAAATAATTAGTAAAGTTATATGTAGGATTGCATTTGTTATTATTTTTAATGAACTCACTCTAAAAAAATGATTTGGTTGTCAGAGAAATGCAAAGCAAATACTAAGAAACAAGCTAAACTATATTAGAAAGCCATCTAGTGGTATCCAGGAGAAATGTTTTTACAGTGAGATTTATCTTTTAATTATGTATGACCTTGCTTGAGTAAAAAACCATCTGCTGTAAGATAGTTTAATTCTTTCGAAATGGTTTCAAACACACAAAGTAAAGAGTAACATTCATTCTGCTGTTGTTTCTGTGCTGTCGAGGACTTTGGATGCATGACAAAGATTTGTATTGCAGAAGGTAAGGGAACATGGTGAGCTTGAGTGAATACAGGTTGCTCTGAGAGATAGATTCCTGTCTATTTTGATCCTCATGAAAGAGAATTATACTCATTTGTCTATTTCCTTCTCCATTTTTCGAATCAAATTTTTAAGATAAGGACCAAATCAAGGTAATAATGGTTGATTTTTTTTTTTTTTTTTTTAAGAATCAGAGTCTTGCTTTGTTGCCCAGGCTGGTCTCAAATTCCTGGCCTTAAGCAATCCTCTTGCCTCCGCTCCTCAAAGTACTGGGATTACAGGTATGAGCAACCCTTCCTGGCCACAATGGTTGCTTTTATAGGGATTTCTTTCAATGAGGTCTGGGTCTATATTTTAGACCATTAAATGAGAGAGAGTTCTATATTAGTTAAAAAGTGGAATTAGTGTTAACTTCAGTGAAAGGAATTTTCCTTTTTAGGATCTTAAGTTTAAAAATAAACAGAAGAACACATAACCTAGTGTTGATGGGGAAGTGTGGCTAACTCTGGAAATAGTTATAAAAATGTATCAGGCTATCATGGTCAAATATTCCGTAAGTCAACATTAGCACAAGGCATTGTCCTTCGCATATGGCATATATAAAATGTTAATGCTCTAATGGAGTTTAGGATGACGTGAACTGTCAGTTCTGAGACTATCACATTTGTCAAAAGCTTGAATTTGTAAAATAGCCAGCCTGGTTCATTTTTTATGTTTTTAGATTTACCATAAGTAAGATACAGGGTGAAACTTCCTCAGGAAGTTTATCCTCATTTTTTCCTCACATAAAATGCCTCAAAACTTGCAACCCTTTCGCGTATCCTCATTTTTGTTTTTGTTTTTGTTTTTGTTTGATTTGAGTCTCACTCTGTCACCCAGGCTGGAGCGCAGTGACATGCTCACCTCCACCCCAGCATCAACCTGCTGGGCTCCAGCGATCCTTCTGCCTCAGGCTTCTAAGTAGCTGGGCGCGCACTACCATGCCCTGCTAATTTTTAATTTATTGTAGAGACAAGGTCCCGTCAAATTTCCTGGTCTGGTCTTGAACCTGTGGGCTCAGGCAATCCACTTACCTCGGCCTCCCAAAGTGCTGGGAATACAGGTTGAACCACTAAGCCTGGTCTGTATCCTCGTTTTTTGTGTGCTTGTTTTAGTTTTCTTTTTGAGAAAATGTTAGTGGTTGATTTCTGAAAGTCATTTGATGTGGTTTTACAAATACAATAAAATATTAAAAATGCTATGTTTTAAAAACACATTGGTCTTACACAAATTCTCATTCTCTCTCTCTCTCTCTCTTTCTTTCTATCTCTTTCTCTCTTTTCTTAGCCAGCAGAGATGAACTCCAGTCCAGAAAAGTTAAATTAGACTACGAAGAAGTTGGTGTATGTCAGAAGGAGGTCTTAATAACCTGGGATAAGAAGTTGTTAAATTGTAGAGCTAAAATCAGATGTGATATGGAAGATATTCATACTTCACTTAAAGAAGGTATTTGGGATAATCTCAATAATCTTTTTTTAAAGAAAAGTCTGCGATTTTTTTTATTTGTGGTGCTCAGACATGAATCTTTGTTTTTGCTTATTTAAAAAAGGAAAGTAGTCCAGGCATGGTGGCTCACTCCTGTAATCCCAACACTTTGGGAGGCCAAGACTGGAGGATTGATTGAGCCCAGGAGTTCCAGTCCAACCTAGGCAACATAGTCTCTATACATAATCAAAAAATTAGTTGGGTTTGGTATTGTGCACCAAGACTGTGGTGAGCCATGGTCATCCACTGCACTCTAGCCTGGGCGACAGAGTAAGACTCCGATTCAAAAAAAAAAAAAAAAAGGAAAGTAATTAGTTTCTTTCTGTAGTTTAATGACTTGATTGATAAGAAACTGGTGCTACTGGGGGTGCTATCCCTGAGGAGGTAGCACACATTTTCTGCAGTTTTTTCTACTGGACTCACCCAGCTGTTTTCAACTGTGTTGTTGTTTACCAAGGGAGAAGTGCATTCATTGGTACAGATTTCTACCATACTAATAACTCAGGTATACTAACTTGGCTCATTTCTATTATTTGGTCAAGAGTATTTATTTACATATATATGTATATTTACATAAATGTGTTTCTAAAGTTGTATGTATTTATATAAACAGGTTTATACTCAATTAATGAGTCAAATTTTCTTTTATCTATTCATCTCTCCATTTTGGAGAAATTGCTTTTTTTGTTGTTCCTCTGGGGCTACCACAAATGCCCAGTGCATGAACTGAGGCAAGGCAGCCTTTCTCTTTGGACTTCACTTTCTTCACTGTGAAACAGTGAGGGAACTGAGGGCTGCTAAGCTTCCTTTCAACTTTAAAATCTGTAATTCTCAGAACATCTTCTAAGGGAAAAGCATTTATTGACATTTTGGCTCCATTAGAGCTATCAGACAGTTTTATACAGTGTGAGGTTTTTCACTACATGAAAACTGAGAAATGTTCATCAAAGCAAGTTCCCCTTCTCCCGTCAGTTTTTGTTTTTGTTTTTGTTTTACTAGGTCTAGTTGTGACCTCTCCATTTCTTTTTTTTTTTTAGTCAGAGTCTCATTCTGTCACCCAGGCTGGAATGCAGTGGCATGCTCACGGCCACCAAAGCCTCAACCTGCTGGGCTTAGGTGATCTTTCCACCTCAGCCTTCCAAGTAACTGGAACCACAGGCACGTGCCACTGTGCCTGGCTAATTTTTTTATTTATTGTAGAGATGAGGTCTTGCCAAGTTGCCCAGACTGGTCTCGAACTAGCGGGCTCAGGCCATCCAGTTACTTCAGCCTCCCAAAGTGCTGGGATTATAGGTATGAGCCACTGTGCTCAGCCTTTTTTTTTTTTTTTAAATTTTAAACTTTAAAAATATGGGGTACAGTTCAGAGTTAAGTATACAAATGTTCATTATGCAGTTACCCTTGTTGATGAGGTGTGTCCCCCCCCACCACTGCCAGCTCTGCCCCACCCTCCCCTGGCAGTTTCCCACCACTGCCAATCCCTTTCTTTTAGTATTATTCTAATTGCTCAAGGTTCGCTTATGAGTGAGAACATATGGTACTCTATTCTTTGTTTTTGTGATCTATCACTGAGTATGATAGACTCTAAATCCATCCAAGTTGCTGCAAAATCCATACGTTTATCCTTCTTTATGGCTGCATAATATTCCATTGTGTATATATACCAATTTTTTTATCCAGTCCAGTTTTGAGAAATTGCTTTGATTTAGCCTTATATTGCCTTTATTGTTTTATTGCTGCTATGCCAGGTAAAATGCCTGCTATTTAAGCATTTTACATTTCAAATTAAAATGAATATGTGACTATTTTAGTTTTAACTTCTGAGAGCTAGATTAACTATATTAAAAAGAAAATCTCCATGGCCTGCATAAACTTAGTATAAAATACAAATTCCAGTATACCAAAAGAAATCTGATAATGAGTCCTGTTTTAAAAACCTATTCTAAGCTGAGTGCAGTGGTTTACGCCTGTAATCCCAGCAGTTTGGGAGGCTGAGGTGAGAGGATTGCCTGAGCCCACAGATTTGAGACCAGCCTGGGCAAAATGGCAAGACTTTGTCTCTACAATGAAAATAAATAAATAAATAATTAGCTGGGTGTGGTGATGTGTGCCTGTAGTTCCAGCCACTTGGAAGGCTGAGGCGGAAGGATCGCCTAAGCCTAGCAGGTCGAGGATGTGGTGACCGTGAGCATGCCACTCCACGCCAGCCTGGGCCAACAGAGTGAGATTCCAACTCAAAAAAACAAAAAAAGCCTATTCTAATGAATGAAACTCTTGCACAGTTAAGTTTAAATTAAGGTAAGATCTAGTTTATAAAATGCTACATTGACAAGCCTAATATATTGTTCTTTATCTTTGAAAATATAAAAATCCTAAAGATTTTCATTGAATGCATTATTTGGGTGACAAAATAGTAGTTAATAGAATGTGTGTGAAATGTAGATCACACCATTCTCTGGCATGACTTTTAAAGATGTATTGGGGCTGGGCCTGGTGGCTTATACCTGTAATCCTGGCACTTTAGGGAGGCCAAGGTGGGAGGATTGCTTGAGGCCAGGGGTTCAAGACCAGCCTGAGAGACATAGCAAGACCCCATCTCTGTGAAAAATATAAATTAAAAAATTAAAATGAAGACATTTGGGGATGATTATCTTTCCAGTTCTTACAGAATATGGTTTAAACTTAGCACTGTGCCCCAGGCCCTCCATAACCTCTCCTTCCATCCCTTTGGTCTTATTTGCTTCCTGTCTTTATCTTGTACTGTGTCCTCTGGGGTCCCAGGCTATTTCCTGTGTGGAATATTTCTGTCCTCCCTGCACTCCTGCCTTACCTCTCTGCTTTTCCTCATTCCCCGCCCCCTTTCTTCCCACCCCATCCTCCTCTCACTCCTCTTTGCTGCTCCCTTTCCTCTGCACCTCTTGGGCCATCACATGTTCCTTTCCTGAAGGGATTGCTGCCAGCATCCTGAACCCGGAGAATCCTATTATCCTTTAGGTCTCAACTCAGGTATCATTTCCTCAGAGCACCGCCCCTGTCCACCCAGCAAAGTCAATTAGTTTTGCTTTGTCATTCTTTCTCATGATTAATTATACTTAATTCATAATTTTATGTGTATGTTTAATTTTTTTTTTTTTTGAGTTTGAGTCTCATTCCATTGCCCAGGCTGGAGTGCAGTGGCACGCTCGTGGCCACCGCCGCTTCGGCCTGCTGGGCTTTAGTGATCCTTCCACCTCAGCCTTCCAAGTAACCGGAACTACAGGTGCAACTACCACACCCAGCTAATTTTTTGATTTATTGTAGAGATGAGGTCTCGTCAATTTGCCCAGGCTGTTCTCCAACCCGTGGGCTCAGGCAATCCTCTCACCTCGACCTCCCAAATTGCTGGAATTACAGGCCTGAGCCACCGTGCCTAGGGTGTTTAATGTTTTCTCACCACTGCACACCTAGCAGCAAGAACAGTATCTTCCAGTTCAAGTATCTTGACTGAATTAATGGATGGATGAATGAATGAGATAAATTTTCCTGAGAATGGATTTATTTATCGCTCAGTGATGAGGTATCCTGTGTGTCTTGCTTTATACTCTGTTACATGCTCAATAAATGTTTGTTTGCCTGAAATGAAGTCAATTTTTGTAAATTTGTAATTGGATGGATAATAAAACAGCCTGCTCAATTTATCAGTGATTTATTTAATGGGTCAGTGAAATTTATGCTCCAAAAATGACATTTTACATACTGCCATACATTCAATCAACACATTTTTAAGCAGCAAGGCATATTCTTGGATTTCATCACAGAGAGATGAAAATATGCTTACTGCTCTCAAGGAGCTCATCATCTAAGTGAGGAAAATGGATAAGCACACAGTATACAGCTAACTAATCTAATATGGTGATGTTACAGTATGAGTCAAATAGTATCTGAGAAGGGAGTGTTGACGTCTAGGGATATTAGGGAGAGCTTGGCGTTCAAGTTTATCCTTAATGGTGAATAGAAATACACTCAGCAATCATGTGAGGGAACTTGGGATTCCACAAAGGCAACAGTGGAAGCAAGAAACTGGAGTGAAAATACCACAAGCTCTAGTGTTTGGCAAGGACTGGGGAGTGACGCGGCTAAAATAGGTGGTTTGGAGCTGTATTAGAGAGACCTTATAAAGCATCCTAGCAAACCTGACTTTCACCTGTTGAATGGTAGTATTCTCAGTTTATATAGACTGTGGCATTGTGGTGGGATGAGATTACTGCCATTAAAGCTTTCCTTGGCCAGCTGGAGCTCAAGAACCTTATCCAGATCTAGTCATCTGACTTGAAAACTTTGTGAGTGGAATAAAGTTGCCTGCACTGTGCAGAATTGAATTCTGTCGCTCCCAGTGCTTACTTCCTGTCCCTTGGCATAAAAAGCACAGTGATAGCATACTTTGAGCTGCTTATGATACCTTTTGGTTTTCAAGCTTAATAGAGTTAATGGTCCATTATATGTGCTAAGTATTTCCTTCTCAAAGACTACATGATATTCTGGAGCACTTCAGTTATGTCTTCTTATTTTTTTACTATATTTTATTTTATGACCATATGAGAATGCTATTTGATTCTCTTTTTCAAAGTTACTTGTTGATGACAAATATTTAGAAATTGTAAATGAGGATTAGCATTTGTTGCTATCTTCAAGCCAAATAAAAGGTGAAAATAGGGAGCAATTCATTTTGCGTTTTCAGGATTTGGCCTCTGAAAGACTGAGAGTACTAATTCTAAACTGCCACTGATAAGCCATGCCAGCTTGGGTAGTTAATCTTCTTCTGCTTCAGCTTTTCATCTGTAAAGTGGGGATAATAGTAATTACCCACACCGTGGGGTTGATTTCCAAGCACATGTGCTCAGTAGCTAGCCACCCTCAACAAGTTTTATTAAGTGCTCAGTCAGTGTTGGCAGATATTATTGTTAGCATTGCCATATTGTTATTGTTGTTTGAGGGCTTTTACAAGACTTCAGGAGCTATTGGATTCATTGTTAATTCATTGTACCACATGGTCTTAGGGTGGTATGCAGTACATACAGCTGCCTTTTTTCCAGAATTACAGTTAATCAGCTGGGATTTAGCAACTTTATTTTATTTTATTTTTTGAGTTGGAGTCTCACTCTGTCACCCAGACTGGAGTGCAGTGGCCGCTCCCGGCCACCGCAGCCTCGACCTGCTGGGCTCCGGTGATCCTTCCACCTCAGCCTTCCAGGTAGCTGGAACTACACGTGCGCTACCATGCCCGGCTAATTTTTAATTTATTGTAGAGATGAGGTCTCGCCAAGTTGCCCAGATGGGTCTCGAACCCGCAGGCTCAGGCACTTCACTCACCTTGACCTCCCAAGGCGCGGAATTACAGACTGAGCCGCCAAGCCCAGCTGGATTTAGCAACTTTATTCCAGAGTTCAAGGCCTCACTTATTTATCTCTTTGATTGTAGGAGTTCCGAAAAGTCGACGAGGAGAAATTTGGCAGTTCCTAGCTTTACAGTACCGTCTCAGACATAGATTGCCCAATAAACAGCAGCCTCCTGACACATCCTATAAGGAACTTTTGAAGCAACTCACTGCTCAGCAGCATGCTATTCTTGTGGACTTAGGTATGTTTGTCATTGTGATTAGAATTGACAAAGGGTAAACAGTTGCCCCTTTTATTGAGTTTTTTTTGTTTGTCATTGTGATTAGAATTGACAAAGGGTAAACAGTTGCCCCTTATATTGAGTTTTTTTTTTCTGTTTATTATTTGATGTTGATAAAGAGGATTATGTTGGTATATGCTTAGACACTGACTTTGTCCTTTACTGAGGACAAGTTAGGCTCATATTGAAGATTCATAAATGTCTGATATTTTACCCCACAACTTTCCCTCCAAAAACGAATCAGCATATATGTGAAGTATTATATTATGTGGTGCTCTCAGTTACTGCATTTTAACAACTGACTTTTACTTGGAATAGACAATTATATCTTGACCAATACTAGTTTTGAAATAGGTTAGCATAAGTTAAAAAGGGGGAGGGACCAAAAAATTTAACAAAGGTGCACTAAGTATTCCTGAATATTTTGCTAAAAATAAGTCTTTAAATATCACTTTTAGCCAGGCTCGGTGGCTCAGCCTGTAATCCCGCGCCTTTGGGAGGCTGAGGTG